ATTATTACTATCTGCACTAATCTGCATAAATAAATTCAACTTTACGACATATAAACCGTAACGACTCTAGAGCCACATCAGCCCGTTTGACATTATGTGTTTAATTCAGTTTTTGCGCAACTCTCACAGAAACAAAACTTAAAACCACATCGCTAATTTGCATAAAACTAAGCGAAGATAAAACTACAGCTCTTGTGTCGCTGATGTGGGTCAGTTTCTGTCGGATTAAAAGACATGACTCAGGTGAATACAGGTTAGTGTGACCATATTTGCGTTTGTCAAAACCAGGACACCGTACGGGGGGAGGGAGGTGGGGACTCGTCATCGACATTGAGCGACTCTCACCTGGTAAAACTTTTTCCCACTGGACACAGAAACATATGTGCTGCTTTATACACTGTGCACATGGACTCACACTTGTCCCGAACGCAACGGAAAGTGTGGAATTTCTTGTACAAATCATCGTTAAATACACATTTGTGCTTCGGTACGTTCGCAGACTGACCCACTGTTTGTGTCTCGCTCCTTCTGAGTGCAGAGAGACACATGTACAGACCCCCATTTGGTCACACTACACACAAAAACCTACATTCGGTTTGTCGATTAAAATTAACGTAATCGATGAAATTCTTAATGATAAATTATCGATTAATCGACTAATCATGCCCATCCCTAGTTCAGACAGCAGGGCTTCACGCTCAATTCTGATTTTTTTGTGAAATCCGATGTTTTTGCGAGGTCGTTCACGAGGGCTGGGTATCATTAAGGAGTTGCCGATACGATACATATCTCGATACAGTGCACTTTCGATTCGATATGATATATTTCAAATCGATTCGATACGGTTCAATAAAAAATAAAGGCTAAATCGTGGCTGTGATACTAAAAGGCTTTGTTAAATTACTTCTTGTGCAAAGTTCATATGAAACACAAAAATTTAAATCCTCAAAACAGTAAAAATGTCAAATGTGTCGCATAAATGAGTTTCCTTTCACTGAACAAGCAACAAAACTGTAGCACTGTAACAAAATAATTTAGTAAAACACACCTACAAATACTCTTCGTGAAATATCGATACAGTATCATCACATTAAACGATACGATAAATCGATATTCCGATATTTTTGCACACCCCTATCGCACATTTCCAATTAAATGTGACTTGTATGTGACTCCAGTGTGAACATTAAACGGCCCAAAAGTGTCGCACATGTGACACTGGAGACACGATGACGTCAACCGCAGTGAGCGTCTCTGTGTTTACAGAAGTTGTCCAAACATGGACGCAGCATCGAGCACCTGGAGATTTTAAAGTTCCTCTCGTACCGGAGCCAGAACATGAACAACTTACTTGTTTTAAGGAGGAGATTGAGAAGGAGAAGGACGAGGTTTTTGGCCGTGGTGTTTTGTGGGCAGTCCATTGAAAGGAACGTGTGGATGTGGAGACGGAGCCAAGAGTGGTGAGTGGAGATGTGCTTCACTTCAGTGACATGGAGTTCATTAATAATTTTCGCCCACTTCAGCGCAGAATAGTGACGTTTGTGACTTGTTGATAATGTGTAGGTGGATGAATGCGCTTTGGCCGTTCACACTGAAGTCACATGTCAAAAGATCAGATTTGTATCGGTGTCAGGAGCACATATCCAAGTGTCCTGGGTCACATTTGAAAAAATCTGATTTGTGTCGTTCAGACTGTCATTAAAAGATCAGATACAGGGACATAGGGGCCAAAAAAATCGGATTTGGGTCACTTCAGGCTGCAGTCTGAACGCAGCCAAAAAGTCTTTGTTAAACCACTTCTTGTGCAAAGTTTATATGAAACACAAACATTTTAATCCTCAAAACTGTGAAAATGTCAAATGTGTCACATGCTCCGCAAAAAATTAAATCTAGCCAAGTTAAGATGACGTGAATTAAGAAAGTTTCGTCATGATTTGAGTAAATTTCACTTGACAAGTAAAATGATCCATCAGCGGAATAAGACTTTTTGTACTTAAAATATGAAAATACAACTTGCTATACTTAAAATAAAATTTAAAAAACTCAACAACTCTTTGCACTTAAAATAGAAACGAAATCGAATCTGGCTTGAATTAAGAAACTTACTCCACTTGGTACAATCTACTCAAATAAAGTCTTAATTTAAGTCATTTTAAATAACCTGGATATTATTTTTTGCAACGTGAATGAGTTTCCTTACTCTAAACAAGCAACAAAACTGTAGCTGTAACAAAATAATTTTGTAAAATCTACCAAAAAATACTCTTGGAGATATATCGATACAGCAGCCCATGATATCGATACTGTATCACCACGTTAAACGATACGATATATCGATAATTCAGTATTTTTTCTCATCCCTAATCAGCAGTAGTATAAGTTCACATTATTTTCATTTTTGAGTATTTGAAACTACAATTAACGAATGAGACTTGTTTAAATAGTCACATTTTTCTATTGCTTTTATGGCTATTCTATTCATATGACTAATTATTTATGTTAAAGCTGCAGTGTGTAACTTTTCTGGCCAAGGGAATGTCCCGGTGTGGCATTAAACACACCCATTTCGCATTTACTCAATCATTTTTGCTGACTTTTATCTGACATGTGACCTGCCCCCGCTGTCTCCATCAGGATAAATAAGTGTAATGCTGTACTGTGGAACATTCTAGGCAACACAGTGAATGTTTAAGTCAAAAGGGCCTGTATGTTTTGTCTCGCCCCCAGTACAGACGTGTTGTTCGCAGCCCTTGAGATGAAAATAAGTCTGTCTGCGTCGAATTATAAAACATTTTGTGGTCACAGAATCAGGAAATGCATGTTAGCTTGCTAGTTGTTGCTGGCTTAACAGTCAAAACTTTCGCTCCGGTCTCTGAAAGTTGTGAAAAGCTGTTAAAATAAACTCATCGTGGTGAATAATTACGATGTTCTGAATGCAAAAGTTAAGTGAGGAATAACTTTGGACCACAGCAAACTGTTTAAAATTAATCAACTATTTCTGCTTGTTGCTGTTTTTCAGATGCTAAAAATCAGATCAGGTACAAGCAATAACATCTCCACGGTGACGGACACTACACTGAACGTTAAGGCCGCCACACACTACAGGAGAATTCGCCCGATTTTGGCTGTAATTTGCTTCTTCCCGTGACCCGACTTTGTGTCTTCATGTGCGATTTTGAAGCCGCTGTGCTCCTTTCTCTGAGCTGCTCTGTCAGATCGTAACCACCAAACATCAGCAACGCTACAATAACAGCCGATAAAACAGAGCGTCAGGGGCAGAGGAGTGACGGACACAGAGACGCAAGATACAAACAGCGAAAATAAGACTTTGAGAAGACTTTATTACCTCTCCTAAAGTTGTAAATTTAAAGTGCAGCTTCTCATCCACATTATCCATAGAAACTGTCGTCTGCAAATAATGACCTCAGTCCACAAAACAGCGCTGTTAATCCAGCTTGAGTCATTCTTTAAAAGTAAAAAGGTGGGAGTAGTTCCTCACGTGTGTTTGTTTACATCCACACAGCACATGAATCGAGGTGAAGCTGCAGATTTGCGACAGTGACTCTACTTCCTGTGGACTTTATCGCCAATCTTATATGCTTTTAAAATCACGTATCTGAAGTTTTGGACCACATTTCACAAATAATAATAACACAGTTTTGACTCGTATCTGAACTAGAAGTGCAGAGCTTTGATTTTTTGAACACTTAAGAGTCTCAGAGCGAGTGGTTTTACTGTCGACAGGAAACAGCTGACGAGATCGCACTCACAACTTTGTAATTTTACAACTGTATCCCGCTGCAGTCTTTGCGATCGGAGATTTTTTTTTAAGTCTCGTAAGATTCTTCTCATGTCTGTGGTCTGTGCACTTTTTGACACTCGTGTAAAAATCGTTTAAGACTGAAAAATCCTGTAGTGTGTGGCGGCTTTTACACAGTGCATCTTTAATATAAGTAATTAATCTGTAAATAATGAAGTCTGTGCAAGGTTGTCAGTTTGATCAGACTCCCTGTTCTGTGAATTCTGCACCAGATGGACGTCCAGCAGAGACGGAGACAGAGACAAACACTTGAATGGAAATTAAAGCTGCACTGCACGTAACTTTCTAGTAGTAGCAGTTGTTGTTTATCTGGTCATTTTGCAGCTCTACAAAACAAAACAAAACAAAACATGGACTACAATCCCATGGATCACGACCAACGACAGAATTCCAAGAAAGAAAAGCAGAGTACGAACAGCAAGTTTGTTTACAATTTCACTTACGCTTTACTGTATATATAAGAGACAAAATATAAATTAAAACAAACTAAATTTAACGCATAATTCATTCATTCCAGAGCTCTATATCCTTCCGTCACTTAGACTTAGACAAACTTTATTGATCGCAAGCACAAGTAAACATTAAAAAAGCATAGAAATACAGGAATATAGTGAGTCAGCGCTTGCTTGCCTCTATTGCAGTGGCTGAAAAATTCCACAGTATAGCTTTAATATTTGCATTCATTCGATTAGAGATGACTTTACTGACAAAAAAATAAAAAATAAAAAATCTGACCTGTAACTTGGCATTGTAGCATCACCTGCTTGTCTCCATGGAGATAAAAGTTTAATGCCACACTGAGAAACCTTCCAGGCAAATCCATGGAGACAAGCACGTGTCAGAACATTTACACCAGAAAAGTTACGTAGTGCAGCTTTCATTTTTTTGTCACGTCAACAGCAAAACAACACATTTCGACTATTTCTAACCATGGTTATAGTTTATGAAAGTATAAAAGTCAATATGAAGTTGAGTCTGAAAATAATTCTAGAAGTTATTATCCTATTTATGTATTTATTTAGTCTATTTATTTCAACATTTTTGCTCATCTTGCAAAATTTTCATCACAACAAACATTCATTAGCGTAGCACCGCCACAATTAAACAAATAATTAGCGTATGAAAAGCTAGAAAAAATATATAAATTGTGAGAAATAAAAAGTAAAAGGTTGTGGGTTACCTCCGTGTGTTGGTCTGGAAGTTGATCCGCTGCTCCCGGGGTCCCTGCGGTGCATTAATCCCGAGGACAGAGCGCGGAGTCCGGGTGAGCTCCTCTGGTCGAGCCGCTGCTGCTCCGGAGCCATTTGAAGTCCGTGCGTAAAGCGTGCGTCAAAAAGAAGAGCAGCTTCCGGGGATTTTCACAATAAAAGTCTGACAGGAAGTTGATTATGAAAAATATCGGCTATACTTAATTATATAAACTGTTATATTGTTAATAATGAAAGGCTAAACCAGGAACAAACCAGGACTAACCAAAGACTAAACCAGGAACAGACAGGGACTAAATTAGGATGAAACCAGGACCAAAACCAGGACTGAACCAGGTCTAACTCCCAAGAAAACCAGGATTAACCGAAGACTAAACCAGGACTAACCCCAGGACTAAACTAGATCTAACCCCCAGACTAAACCAGGAACCAGAACCTGGGACTGAACCAGGACTAAACCAGGATTAAACCAGGACTAAACCAGGTCTAACCCCAATGAAACCAAGAACTAAACTGGGACTAAACCAAGAACAGATGGGGATAAACCAGGACTAAACCAGGACTCAACCAGGTGTAACCCCCAAGGAAACCAGGAACAAACCTATACTAACCAAAGACTAAACCAGGACTAACCCCAGGACTAAACCAGGACTAACCAAAGACTAAACCAGGATTAACCCCAGGACTAAACCAGGAACAGACAGGGACTAAATTAGGATGAAACCAGGACCAAAACCAGGACTGAACCAGGTCTAACTCCCAAGAAAACCAGGACTAACCGAAGACTAAACCAGGACTAAACCAGATCTAACCCCCAGACTAAACCAGGAACCAGAACCCAGGACTGAACCAGGACTAAACCAGGACTAAACCATGATTAAACCAGGACTAAACCAGGTCTAACCCCAATGAAACCAAGAACAAACTGGGACTAAACCAAGAACAGATGGCGATAAACCAGGACTAAACCAGGACTCAACCAGGTGTAACCCCCAAGGAAACCAGGAACAAACCTATACTAACCAAAGACTAAACCAGGACTAACTCCAGGACTAAAGGAAGACTAAACCAGAACTAAACCTGGGACTAAACCAGGACTAACCCCCAAGGAACAAACCAGGACTAGAACAGGACCAAACCATGTCTACATCAGGACTAAATTGGGCTACCTCAAAAATCAATCAGGCTAACATGGTCAAAATAAAGAAAATATGAAATAAGAATCTGCTTTGAAATTACAAAATCTTAACTAACTGTGGCCATTTAATAAATGCATGAGTGAGTCCTGCCTCAGATTCCAGGAGACATTGGTCTGAATAATGCACCGTCTCTGGTCTCACTTTGTCTCACTCACACAGACATGGACATGGACAGGGACATGGACAGGTCCTATGGTCACAGCTTTGAGTCTTACGTAACAGAAGCTTCACCTGTGGGACGCTCCAGTCTCTGATTTGTCTTATTCTGCAATGAAAAATAAAACAGGACTTGTGGTATTCGCCATTTATTTATATACAGTATTTACATTTGTTGTGATTGCAGAAAAGTTCCACAGTGTACCTTTAAACAACACGGACGCAGACATGGGCGCAGACAGGACACAGAGAGAGACACTGACAGGGAGAGGGATGCAGACAGGGACATGGAGAGGGACATGGACACAGACAGGGACAGGGACAGGGATGCAAACAGGGACATGGACACGGACAGGGACAGGGAAAGGGATGCAAACAGGGACATGGACACGGACAGGGACATAGACAGGACACAGAGAGGGACGCTGACAGAGAAAGGGATGCAGACAGGGACATGAACATGGACACAGACAGGGACATGGACATGGACACGGACAGGGACAGGGACATGGACACGGACACAAACATGGACACAGACAGGGACATGGACACAGACATGGACATGGACACAGACATGGACACAGACATGACAGACAGACATGGACACAGACATGGACACAGACACATGGACACAGACATGGACACAGACATGGACACAGACATGGACATGGACAGACATGGACATGAACACACGGACACAGACATGGACACAGACATGGGACACAAACACAGACATGGACATGAACACAGACACGGACATGAACACAGACATGGACATGGACATGGACATAGACAGGGACACAGTATTTAGTAAACAGTATTTAAATTTGATGCGATTTCAGAAAAGTTCCACAGTGCACCTTTAAACAGCCTGGTATAATTTAACCCCTGACATGTTCACACACGTCTCACCCTGACGCAGAGTGACAGCCCTGCTCCTCACGTCCACCAAGAGCCAGGTCTGATCCAGGTCTGGTCCTGGTCCTGGTCTGGTCCTGGTCTGGGACTAGAGCAGGACTGTGGCAGGACTGAGACATGAATCCTAATGGGAGTGTGGGTGTGAAGACTCTGACAGCTGACAGCTCCGAGCCTCAGAGCGCTGACACTGACCTCTGTGTGGATGTTATTATTCCACTCAATCTGCATTCTGGAGTTTGTTTACACGAAGAAAAGCACGTTCACTACAAGATGTTACACGTTTTTTTACATTTTACCATTTTATTAAAAAAAAGCTATTACAATCACAACTGAACCTGTGTTTCCAGAGCCTTAACCTGCAGATAAAGACACATCCAGGTTTTTCTCATTCTCAGTTCTATGTTCAGGCGTCATGTGAAAGCTCGAAACCTCCAAAATTCCCTTCCTGAGTTGCAAAAGCTGCACTAGCACTGAGTCATGATGGGTGCAGGTGCTGGGGTTTAGAGATTTGGATAGGGCGTCCTTTTTATTTTATATTTCGACAGGTTTTAGTAGCAAAATGTGTCTATTTCACATTTTTCCACAAGAGCAGCACGTGTGTTTCCCCACAGACTCCTGCAGACAGACGCGAGCTGACGGGTCTGACAGGGACTCAGAGGAGCTCAGAGCGTGAAGGACGAAACCGGGACTAAAACTGGACTAAAACTAGGACTAAAACTAGGACTAAAGCAGGTCTAAAGCAGGTCTAAACCAGATCTAAAACTGGTCTAAACCAGGACTAAACCTGGTCCAAAACTAGGACTAATCCAGGACTAAACCAGGTCTAAACCCGATCTAAAACAGATCCAAAACTAGGAGTAAACCAGGACTAAACCAGGTCTAAACCAGATCTAAAACTAGGACTAAACCAGGTCTAAACCAGATCTAAAACTAGGACTAAACCAGGACTAAAACAGATCTAAAACTAGGACGAAACCAAAACTAAACCATGACTAAACCAGGTCTAAACCAGATCCAAAACTAGGACTAAAGTAGGACTAAACCAGGTCTAAACCAGATCTAAAACAGATCCAAAACTAGGAGTAAACCAGGACTAAATCAGGCCTAAAACAGATCTAAAACTACGACTAATCCAGGACTAAACCAGGTCTAAAACTGGACTAAACAGGACTAAACCAGGTCTAAAACAGATCCAAAACTAGGACTAATCCAGGACTAAACCAGGTCTAAAATAGATCTAAAACTGGACTAAACCAGGTCTAAACCAGGTCTAAAGCAGAACAAAACCAGGTGTAAAACAAATCTAAACCTAGGACTAAACCAGATCTAAAACAGATCTAAAACTGGACTAAAGCAGGTCTTTGCACAGTTACATCAGAGGGGAGATGTTGGATCTGACAGGGGCTCAGAGACGCTCAGAGTGTGAAGGACAAAACCAGGTCTAAACCAGGATTATGGTTCATACAAGTGTACAAAAAAACTAAAAACTAAAAAACTTCTAAATATCTCCCAAAAACAAGTTAGTGCTGGACAACACAAGGGGTTGGTGGCCCTAAACCCAGTCGTGCACATGAACGCAGAGGATGAAGAGGAGCAGATGTAGGAAGAGAATCTGCCAATTAAATAAAAATAATTGTTAATAATTAATCGTTCAGTCGCTGTAATCACCTCGTTTCGTCTTGATGTCATGTTCCTGCTTCACTGATGAGACGATGCCTCCTGGTGGACATTATCAGGCACTGCATCACATCACATTACAACTATTAAAACATTAAATTAAAATTCTGTAACCCAGTGTTTCTCAAACTGTGGTGCAGACTCCTCAATTACGTGCATGTACCTGAGTAACGTTTGAGTAAAATGGTGTTTCTGAGTAGTTTTCATCTTTTTTACCTGTAACCTGAAGCTCTCTGTGTTGCATAAGGCCGTCACACTTTTATTCCAGTTTTCCATTCATTTGATTCTGTGTGTGTTTTGTTAATTGTTGTGGAAAGAAATTATATAGAGCTTCACGAAAAATAATTAATCCATTTTGTGACGCCCGGTGAGTTTTTGGAACACAGACAAAGGTTTATTCTTCTCGTTACAGCAGCCTGTCCTGAGTCTCCTCTCTCCAGTCACGTCATCTCTCCATCTCCAGAGCATCTCCTCCCAGAACGTCTGAGCTCTGAGTATTTGTACAGAAATATAAGTTAGATACACATCAAAAGAGCGGCTTTAGTTTGGCTTTTGTTTCAGACTTGTGCTCATCAACTTTGAGGACAAATAGAACCAAAAAGGTCTTCCTGAGGTTAGAGATACTTGTGTCCAGAGGTGGGACCGAGTCATCGTTTTGCAAGTCTCAAGTCTTTGACCTCAAGTCCGAGTCAAGTCCCAAGTCAGATACAGGCAAGTCCAAGTCGAGTCTCGAGTCACTGGCCCATAAGTCCAAATCAAGTCCAAGTCGTCTGCTTTGAGCTTCAAGTCATTTCAAGTCTTTAAACCAAAGATTTTCTTAGATTTCAGCAATTTATATGCATTTTTAACTAGATTGTACATAAAAAATCATAGTATATTTATATATGAGTATTTATAGTGTTTATAAGAGTTGTAGAAATGCAATTTTTTCCTTTTTAAATGTTTTGACAAGATCTTAGAGTAAAAAAGAAGAAGAAAGAATTCAGGTCTAAAACAGATCTAAAACTGGACTAAACCAGGACTAAACCAGATCTAAAACTGGACTAAACCAGGACTAAACCAGGACTAAAGCAGGACTAAAGCAGGTCTAAAACATCATTACGGTCAAAACAGAAAGAATTCCTATTTAAAAGTGCTTCTCAATTCTTTTCAAGTCCAAAATCACTGACCTTCAAGTCCAAGTCGAGTCCCAAATCTTAGTCCATTTTATCAAGTCAAGACTCAAGTCCTAAAAATAGTGACACAAGTCTGACGCAAGTCCAAGTCGCGACTTGCGAGTCCACACCTCTGGCTGTGTCTGTCTAAGGTGGAAATCACATTTATTTACACAAAGACAAATTTAGAGAATCTTTCTACAGTTTAAATTTCCATCACATTAATATGATCATGAGCTCTGGGTAATGACCAAAAGGACAAGATCACAGATACAAGCTCTCAAAAAGAGTTTCCTCCTCAGGGTGTCTGGGTGCTCCCTTAGAGATAGAGTGAGGAGCTCAGTCACATGGGAGGAGCTCGGAGTAGAGCCGCTGCTCCTCCACGTCGAGAGGAACAGCTGAGGCTCGAGCATCTGATCCGGATGCCTCCTGGGCGCCTTCCTGAAGAGATGTTTTGAGCATGTCCCACTGGAACAAGGCCCTCAGGAAGACCCAGGACACACGGGGGCGGCAGTAGCTCAGTTGGTAGAGCATTTGCCCACTAATCTGAAGGTTGGTGGTTTCGAATCCAGATCTTGACATAAACATCACATTCCAGCTCCCACAGCTCCTGCCGTTGTGTCCTTGGGCAAGACACTTAACCCACCTTGCCCACAGTGTCTGTATACACTGGTGTGTGAATGGGTGAGTTATTCCTTGTTGTAAAGCGCTTTGAGTGCCTTGAAGGTGGAAAAGTGCTATAGAAAAAATGTGACCATTTACTATGTCTCTGGGCTGGTCTGGAAACGCCTTGTGGTCCCCGGAGGAGCTGGAGGACGTGTGTGTGGAAAGGGAAGTCTGGGATTCCTGCTTAGACTGCTGCCTCCACGACCCGACCCCGGATAAAGCAGAAGAAAATGGATGGATCACATTAATATTTTCTTTTTATGTGGATGAGTTCTTGGCCCTTCGCACATCGTAAACAGCCCCAGGAATGTTCACATTTGAGATGAAACTGAAATCTGAACTGCTGACCCCAGGATAAACTGGCAACTAAACTTGGACTCTACTGGGACTAAAGAACAGGACCAAACCAAGTCTACACCAGGACTAAAATGACTACACAACCCTGTTATTGTAAACAGCCCCGAAAGTGTTCACATTTGAGATAAAACCAAAATCTGAACTGTTAACTCAAGGACTATCCCCAGAACTAAATCAGGACAAATTCTGAACTAAACCTGGACTGGGATTAAAACAGGACTAGAACAGGACCAAACCAAGTCTAAATGAGGACTAAAACAACTAAACAATCCCGGGAGTGTTTACATGTGAGATAAAACTGAAATCTGGACAACTAACTCCAGGACTAAAGCAAGAACTAAACCTGGACTATAGTGGGACTAAAGCAGGACTAGAACAGGACCAAACCAAGTCTACATCAGGACTAAAACGACTAAACAGCCCTGGGAGCGTTCACATTTGAGATAAAAAACAAAATCTGAACTACGCTCCTGTGGCTGTTTACAATGTTGGGGTTGTTTAGTCATTTTAATCCTGATGTAGACTTGGTTTGGTCCTGTTCTAGTCCTGCTTTAATCCCAGTAGAGTCCAGGTTTAGTTCCTGCTTTAGTCCTGGGGATAGCAGTTCAGATTTCAGTTTTATCTCAAATGTGAACGGTCCTGGGGTTGTTTAGTCTTTTTAGTCCTGATGTAGACTTGGTTTGGTCCTGTTTTAGTCCTGCTTTAGTCCCACTATAGTCCAGGTTTAGTTCACGACTATCACCAGGACTAAAGACGGGACTAAACCTGGACTATACTGGGACTACAGCAGGACTAGAACAGGACCAAACCAAGTCTACTAAACGATCCCAACATCATAAAACAGCCCCAGAAGAGTTCATATTTGAGATAAAACTGTTCAGTTTCGGGACTTGGTCCTGTTCTAGTCTTGTTTTGGTCCCAGTATAGTCCAGGTTTAGTTTTGAATTTGTCTGATTTAGTCCTAGTGTTAGTCCTGGGGTTAAGTATTCAGATTTCAGTTTTATCTCAAATGTGAACGGTCCTGGGGTTGTTTAGTCCTTTTAGTCCTGATGTAGACTTGGTTTGGTCCTGTTTTAGTCCTGCTTTAGTCCCAGTATAGTCCAGGTTTAGTTCAGAGTTTGTCCTGATTTAGTCCTGGGGTTAGTTCACATTTGAGATAAAACTGAAATCTGAACCCAGAACCCCAGATTAAACTCAAGGCAAACTCAGAACTAAACCTGGACTATACTGGGACTAAATCAGGACTAAAACAAGACCAAACCAAGTCTACATTAGGACTAAAACGACTAAACAACCCCGGGAGCGTTCACATTTGAGATGAAACTGAAATCTGAACTGCTCTCCTGGGGCCATTTACGATGTTGGGGCTGTTTATTCGTTTTAGTCCTGATGTAGACTTTGTTTTGGTCCTGTTCTAGTCCTGTTTTAATCCCAGTCGAGTCCAGGTTTAGTTCCGAGTTTGTCCTGATTTAGTCCTGGGGTCAACTGTTCAGATTTCAGTTTTATCTCAAATGTGAACGCTCCTGGGGTTGTTTAGTCCTTTTAGTCCTGATGTAGACTTGATTTGGTCCAGTTTTAGTCCTGATGTAGACTTGGTTTGGTCCAGTTTTAGTCCTGCTTTAGTCCTGCTTTAGTCCTGCTTTAGTCCTGCTTTAGTCCTGCTTTAGTCCTGCTATAGTCCAGGTTTAGTTCAGAGTTTGTCCTGATTTAGTCCTGGTGTTAGTCCTGGGGTTAGTTCACATTTGAGATAAAACTGAAATCTGAACTGCTAACCCCACGACTATCACCAGGACTAAAGACGGGACTAAACCTGGACTATACTGGGACTACAGCAGGACTAGAACAGTACCAAACCAAGTCTACTAAACGACCCCAACATCATAAACAGCCCCAGAAGAGTTCACATTTGAGATAAAACTGTTCAGTTTCAGGACTTGGTCCTGTTCTAGTCTTGTTTTAGTCCCAGTATAGTCCAGGTTTAGTTCTGAATTTGTCCTGATTTAGTCCTAGTGTTAGTCCTGGGGTTAAGTATTCAGATTTCAGTTTTATCTCAAATGTGAATCCTTTCGGGGGTGTTTACGATGTTGGGATTGTTTAGTCCTTTTAGTCCTGATGTAGACTTGGTTTGGTCCTGTTCTAGTCCTGCTTTAGTCCCAGTATAGTCCAGGTTTAGTTCCGAGTTTGTCTTGATTTAGTCCTGGTGTTAGTCCTGAGGTTAGTTCACATTTGAGATGAAACTGAAATATGAACTGCTCTCCTGGGGCCATTTATTTATTCATTCTTGGGGCTGTTTATTCATTTTAGTCCTGATGTAGACTTTGTTTTGGTCCTGTTCTAGTCCTGTTTTAATCCCAGTCGAGTCCAGGTTTAGTTCTGAGTTTGTCCTGATTTAGTCCTGGGGTCAACTGTTCAGATTTCAGTTTTATCTCAAATGTGAACACTCCTGGGGTTGTTTAGTCATTTTAGTCCTGATGTAGACTTGGTTTGGTCCTGTCCTGGTCCTGCTTTAGTCTCAGTATAGTCCAGGTTTAGTTCCACATTTGTCCTGATTAAGTCCTAGTGTTAGTCTTGGGGTTTGTTCACATTTGAGATAAAACTGAAATCTGAACAACTAACTGCATGACTAAAGCAAGAACTAAACCTGGACTACACTGGGACTAAAGCAGAGCCAAACCAAGTCTACATCAGGACTAAACTGACTACACAGCCCCAGGAGCGTTCATATTTGAGATAAAAACCGAAATCTGAACTACGCTCCTGAGGCTGTTTACAATGTTGGGGTCGTTAGTCGTTTTAGTCCTGACGTAGACTTGGTTTCGTCCTGTTCTAGTCCTGCTCAGGTTTAGTTCTTGCTTTAGTCCTGGTGATAGTCCTGGGGTTAGCAGTTCAGATTTATCTCAAATGTGAACACTCCTGAGGTGGTTTAGTCGTTTTAGTCCTGATGTAGACTTGGTTTAGTCCTGTTCTAGTCCTGCTTTAGTCCTAGTATAGTCCAGGTTTAGTTCCAAGTTTGTCCTGATTTAGTCCTGGGGTTAGTTCACATTTGAGATAAAAACTGAAATCTGAACTACTAACCCCAGGACTAAATCAGGACAAACTCTGAACTAAACCTGGACTATCCTGGGACTAAATCAGGACTAAAACAAGACCAAACCAAGTCTATATCAGGTCTAAAACGACTCCACAGCCCCGGGAGCGTTCACATTTGAGATGAAACTGAAATCTGAAACTGCTGAAACAAATACCAGAGTCCCTTGCAGATCAGGACACGTTTGAAGAGTCTAAAACACAGATTCTATTAAAAAGAAAAGGACGATTTGTTATTTGCAAAGAAAATTCTGTCATCTAAATACTTGAAACCTTTGTGATTTGATGATTTTGCCGACTCGAAATTGTGATTTCAGTTCGATAACGATTCTGCAGATCTATTTGTATTGTCTTGTTGTTCCAGAAAAAGAGGCAGAGGTTTCAAACAGATTGGTTTATTGTCAAATTGTAACAGAATTTTGTGAGTACACGCTCAAACTCCAGCTTCAGAATCCATTATTTTAAAACAGAAAAAAAAAAGTTAAATTTAAAGGAAGGCGTCATTCACACTATACAGGCCTTTGTACAATTAAAAAGTATGGCTCATCAGCTCTGGTTAAAATATACAGATGGATTTAAGTCTTCACTCCTCTATCTAGTCTTTAAAAGGTGCACTGTGGAACTTTTCTGACGGCTGGTGTGTGAATTTCTCGTCTCTGTGGGTTGCTTCAACCGGAATGCTCCCAAGTATGACATTAAACGCATCAGGCTTGCATTTATTACCGTATTTCTTGGACTATAAGTGGCACTTTTTTTTCATGGTTTGGGCGTTTTCTGTGATTTATATATTAAAATGTTGAAAGTGAAGTGTGGAGAGGTTCTAGTCTTGTGTGTGAGTATCTGCTGCTCCTGTTCCTCCTGTACCACTTTCACTTTGCTCTACTGCGCATGTCTCCTGCAGAAAGAGCCTCTGTCCTGTCTGTGTCATGTCAGTCGATCGCACTGTTACTTCTAATTTAAACAAACTTATAAAGATGACTGAGAAGACTGAACACAAATGCCCCCAAAAAGAAAATCAGATTTTGCAGATTACCGTATTTTCTGCACTATTAGATGGTCTGGAATATAAAACGTCATTAAATGGTCTATTTTCTAACTTTTTTCATATATAAACCGTGTGGGACTTTAAATGAAACACAACAGTGTGATGGGTGAGTGGTTTTCTTTGTTTGTGGCGTTCACGGTGACTCTGGGCTTTGTTCAGTTGTGGCGTGTAGGGAGGGTGCTGTCTGGGACCAACGGATTGTCGGCGTGTTCGCAGTGACTCAGTTGTTCAGTTGTGCTCGCTTTTTCGGTTTCGTTCCTCCGTTCCGTTCCTCGTCGGCGTGGGTTGTGGGTGTTTCTCGCTGTGCGGTCGCTGTCTGCTCCGTGTGTGTTTGTGTGTTCTGCGGGTGGTGCGTGCTGGGACACCCGAGTGGATTCGTGTATAGGGCGCTCTGGATTGTGGTGCGCGGTTGTTTTTTTTATGGGGGTAGAGGCTTAAGAGCGCGTCTAATAGCCTGGAAAATATGGTACAAGCTGCAAGTCGTGAAATCTGCAGCAACAGAAAGAAAGTTTGGAGTGAGAGAGAAACTTGTGACACCGGGAGGATGCACCATGAAACTTTCTTGAAGTCACTGGATGGACGGACAAAGCCTGGACTTCAGAGACACTGAAACCATCCTGTCGGGATTCAGAAAGACCAGAATAATTCTAACTGGAACTGATGCTGAGTCTGATGACAGCGACACAGAAGAGGAAGCGGCGCTCTGTTTACCTCCGGACGTCGAGGAGTTGTTCAGAAGCGACACCGAGGATGAAGAATTGAATGGATTTAGTGATTTGGAGTGAGATGGAGTTTGTTAAACTTGTTGTTTTGTTGTTTATGTTATAGTTTATCTGAAGAACTGTTCATATGTGACGTTAACTGTCTGTTGTTTTTATTAGAACTTGACTTTTAACAGGAAATGTCAGTTCCTGGTCTCTGATTTTATAAATTTCCCCAACAATTGCAACTTATGTTTTTTTTTCTTCTTCATTAAACATTTTTAGCTGGTGCGACTTATAGTCCGAAAAATACGGTAGTTGTTTTTATTGCTTTTTGCGTACTGTTGCGGGCTTGCCTCTCCACAAATCTGACCTGTAACCATAGGGAATGATAATTCAGTATGATAATTTCTTAGTTTTACTGATTGCTTTAGCTGTAATGTTTCGAAGTATGGCTTTAAATGATTCTGTCTTGCATTTATCCCATTAAAGTTGCCGTTTTTTACCTTTAAAAACACGCTTTCTTTTTGTGTGTGGGCTCGCCTCTGTACAGATCTGACCTTAACCTGGTGGTCTCTTCTACTTGAGATCGAGAAGTTCACTGGGACATTTCAGGTGAAGCAATAATATCTATAGAGAAAAACATGAAAAGTTCCACGTTGCACCTTTAATCAAACCTAAAAACACTTAATTTCCCTTTTTAAAAAATCAAATTGACAAAGGCTCGGAAATGAACCAATGAATCAAGGTCCACGTTTCTATTTAGTGCATTGTTAAAACTAAAACATTACCAGAAAAATAAAAGGAATGAAAGGAAGCGAGTGGTTTTAAAAAGTACAGACGACGTAAACACTGACCTTAAGGTGGAAAAATTTCACACAAAAAACTAAAATTATGTACAAAACACTAAAACTTTTCACAGGAACTCACCGGTTTACAAAAGTAAAAAAAAAACAAAAACAAAAACAAAGGATTTTCTTTTTTCCAGTTCTGCCAGTCCAATTCACTACGTACACGTCGTTATCGTCCGGAATCGTACCATTTGAGCACCAACCGTGTTACCCGTCTCAACCAAAAACTTCACGATGGTGTTTTAGGGCCATAATGAAAAGTAAAGTTTGAATAAATATTTGGTGTATTTTTATATTTACGTTTTAAAAGTTTCTGTACCTGATTTTTTTTTTTTGCGTATTTGACCAAAATGACTTTCTCCAGGACAGATTCATTATATAAAGGTCAAAATAAGTCTGCTGTGTCCTGTCTGCGTCTAATTATTGTGGGAAAAAGTGTTTTATTTGAGAATCAGGAAGTGCGCTGTCAGCATGCTAGTTGTTGTAAGCTTTCCCGTAACAACAAAACTCCGTTCTGGTCGCTGAAAGTTGTGAAAAGCACTTATAAACTCTTCGTGGTGAGTAATTAGCCTCGTTACAAATATTTTGTATAAGCAGTCATGTCCTGAGTGCATCTATATAAAGAGTTTTATTTGAGAATCAGGAAGTGCGCCATCAGGATGCTAGTTGTAAGCTTTACAGCTGCAGTAAAACTCCGCTCTGGAGTCTGAAAGTTGTGAAAAGCACTTAGAAACTTGTATGAGTTTATTGTATGAGCTGCTGTGTCCTGTCTGCATCTAATTATTAAGTGTTTTGAGGATCAGGGAGTGCGCCGTCAGCATGCTAGTTGACATTAGATTTACCGCAACGGAAAAACTCCGCTCTGGTCGCTGAAAGTTGTGCTTAGAAACTCATCGTGGAGAGTAATTAGCTCCATTACAGATATATTGTACAAGTTTCTGTGTCCTGTCTGCATCTAATTATTAAGTGTTTTATTTGAGAATCAGGAAGTGCACTGTTAGCATGTTAGGCAAAACTCAGCTCTGGTCTCTGAAAATTGAAAAAGTGAAAAGCGCTTAGAAATTCATCGCGGTGAGTAATTAGAACCATTACGGATGTTTTGTATGAGCAGCTACGTCCTGTCAGCGTCTACTTATTGTGGATTACTTGAGGATCAGGAAGTGTGCAGTCAGCATGCTAGTTGTCATCAGCTTTACCTCGGCGACAAAACTCCGCTCTGGACTCTGAAAGTTGTGAAAAGCGCTTATAAACTCGTCCTGGTGAGTAATTTGCTCCATTACAGATATATTCTATGAGCAGCTGTGTCCTGTCTGCATCTAATAAGTGTTTTATTTGAAGATCAGTGAGTGCGCTGTTAGCATGCTAGTTGTTGTTAGCTTTACTTCGACAGCAAAACTCTGCTCTGGTCGCTGAAAGTTGCGCTTAGAAACTCATCGTGGAGAGTTTTTAGCTCCATTACAGATATCTTGTACAAGCTTTTGTGTCCTGTCTGTATCTAATTATTGAGTGTTTTATTTGAGGATCAGGGAGTGCGCTGTTAGCATGCTAGTTGTTAGCTTTACCTTGATGACAAAACTCTGCTCTGGTCTCTGAAATTTGCTAAAAGCGCTTATAAACTCGTCATTATAAATATATTGTATGAGCTGCTGTGTCCTGTCTGCATCTAATTATAAAGAGTTTTATTAGGGAATCAGGAAGTGCACTGTTAGCATGCTAGGCAAAACTCCGCTCTGGTCTCCGAAAGTTGTAAAAAGCGCTTAGACACTCATTGTGGTGAGTAATTGGCCCCATTGCAGATATTTTTTACAAGCAGATCTTAAGATCAAAATAAGTCAGCTGTGTCCTGTCTGCATTTGTTCTTTTATTTTGAGGATCAGGAAGTGCGGTGTCAGGATGCTAGTTGTTGTAAGCTTTCCCGTGACAACAAAACTCCGCTCTGGTCTCTGAAAGTTGTGAAAAGAAAAGCTTAGAAACTCATTGTGGTGAATTATTAGCTTCATTACAGATATATTGTACGAGCAGCTATGACCTGTCTGCATCTAATTATTAAGTGTTTTACTTTTTGAGCAGGGAGTGTGCTGTTAGCATGCTAGACTCTGGTCTTTGGAAGCTGTGAAAAGTGTTTAGAAACTCATCCTAGTGAGTAATTCGCTCCATTACAGATATATTGTATGAGCAGATCTTTCTTGAGGTCAAAATAAGTCTGCTGTGTTCGGTTTGTTTTTAATTATAGTTTTTTTGAGGATCAGGAAGTGTGGTGTTAGCTTGCTAGTTGTTGTTAGCTTACTATGATGACAAAACTCAGCTCTGGTCTCAAGAGTTTTAAAAAGCGCTTATAAACTTAAACTATAAACTTATAACTTTGGATCACTGCAGACTGTTTTTCATGTTTAAAACATAAAAAAAAAAAAAAAAAATCTGGTGTAATTTTTTGTATAACTTTTGTCATAATTTTGCCCTTTTTTTTGCATATCTTTTCTTTGTCAAAACCCGCACAGGTATGAACAATAAAAAAACAAAGTGTCAGTTTCCGTGATGTTTAAATAATCAGTTTAATTTCAGAAATTCGACAATAATCCCATTTTTGGCGTCCATGTAAACAGAATATACTGGACGGTCTATGTGGAAAATTATTGGAAATGATTTACTTAAAAGGTGCACTGCGCGACTTTTCTGGTGACGGGTCCACTGTTTTGTCTGCTCATCTCCATGGAGATGTCGCTTTGCCTGGAATGTTCCACAGTATGACATTAAACATATTCATTATCCTATTCAGTATCATTTATTCATTACGGATCGCTCAAAAATAAGATTTTGTACAAAAATAAGATAATTCCTTCTGTGAATTGGGTCTCCTCTCCACAGATCTGACCCTGCCCTTGCGTTAAATTTAAATTTAATCTATACTGTGGAACATTCTCCTAGAAATGTTACGCAGTGCACCTTTAATTATCAGTTGTAAGGGTAACTCTCCTACATTTAATTCAATTTAAACAACACACTGACCGATGCACATTTCGTCTCATCGTCTCATTGTCGTAGGGTTAAAGACGCACTACGTAACTTTTCCCGACGGTGCGAGGGGGGATCCGTTACCATGGAGATGTTACTGCTTAGCCTGGAATGTTCCACAGTGTGAAGTTAAACGTTAAAACTTATCCAAAATCCGTCGATTCGATTGAAGGCGTTTCTATTGTTCAAATGTACCTTCTCACTGTAATCGGGCTCGCCTCTCCGCAGATCTGACTAGTAAATCGGCCTAGCGGCGTCTCCTGCTTGTTGCTATAGTGACTTGACGAAGTTTAATGCCATACTGTGGGACATTTCAGGAAAACCAGTATATATAAACGCTACAAGGAGATGAGAAACTGGCGTGTCCACTATTAGAAAAGTTACACAGTGCGTCTTTAGCTTCCATATATGGCCCTATCGCACCATCGTAACCATAGCAACAGAGTACCTTTCACATATTCGGCATGGCTCGGATCCACAGTACCTCCTCTCGCTCTCTAAAGTGCTCCAAACGGGTCAAACCAATCAGAGGAAAATATATAAAGACGCATTATTTTACACGGGGAAGGTCCGTCCTGGTCCCGGGTCGAGTCCTCGGTCTAAGTCCTTGGTCTTGGGTCCTTGGTACTTGATCCTGGTCTGGTCTGGTCCGGACTCAGTACTTGGGCACTTTGGTGTAGTCCACGACGCCGACGCTCTTGCATAGGCAGATGGACAGGATCATCCCCAGCAGCTGAAAAAAAAGAGAATGCAACCACGTTTATATGATGTGTTTAAATTCCGAATAAATTAGTTTGGAATTAAAATATTCTCCTTCGAGTTTAGAAGTTTAGAAGAAAATAATAATTCCGAGTTAAATTGTCTGAGTTCAGTATTTCTGAACAAAGTACAAACTACAAAGTAAAAGTTTGTAGTTTTTACCTCGATGAAGGCGACGCCGAGACACACGCCCAGAACCACCCAAATGTGAGTCCTGAGCAAAGACTCCAGACTCTCAGAGCAGCCCTGAAAACACAACAGATACAGGGGTTAAACCAGGACTAACCAGGACTGAACCAGGACTGAACCAGGACTGAACCAGGACTAAAGCAGGACTGAACCAGGACTAAAGCAGGACTGAACCAGGACTAAAGCAGGACTGAACCAGGACTAAAGCAGGACTAAAGCAGGACTAAAGCAGGACTAAAGCAGGACTAAAGCAGGACTAAAGCAGGACTAAAGCAGGACTGAACCAGGACTAAAGCAGGACTAAAGCAGGACTGAACTAAAGCAGGACTAAAGCAGGACTAAAGCAGGACTAAACCAGGACTAAACCAGGACTAAACCAGGACTGAACCAGGACTAAAGCAGGACTGAACCAGGACTAAAGCAGGACTGAACCAGGACTAAAGCAGGACTAAACCAGGACTAAAGCAGGACTAAAGCAGGACTAAAGCAGGACTGAACCAGGACTAAAGCAGGACTAAAGCAGGACTAAAGCAGGACTAAAGCAGGACTAAAGCAGGACTGAACCAGGACTGAACCAGGACTAAAGCAGGACTAAAGCAGGACTAAAGCAGGACTAAACCAGGACTAAACCAGGACTGAACCAGGACTAAAGCAGGACTAAAGCAGGACTGAACGAGGACTAAAGCAGGACTAAAGCAGGACTAAAGCAGGACTAAAGCAGGACTAAACCAGGACTAAACCAGGACTGAACCAGGACTGAACCAGGACTGAACCAGGACTAAAGCAGGACTAAAGCAGGACTAAAGCAGGACTAAAGCAGGTCTAAGCCAGGACTAAACCAGGACTAAACCAGGACTAAACCAGGACTAAACCAGGACTGAACCAGGACTGGACCAGGACTAAACCAGGACTAAAGCAGGGCTGAACCAGTACAAAAGCAGGACTAAAACAGGACTAAAGCAGGACTAAAGCAGGACTAAAGCAGGACTAAACCAGTACAAAAGCAGGACTAAAACAGGACTAAACCAAGTCTAAAGCAGATCTAAAGCAGATCTAAAGCAGGACTCACGACTTCGTAGACGGGCCAGTCGGAGGTGGTCTCGCAGAAGCCCTGGTCGGAGGAGTTGGTGGGCGACAGGGTGATGTTCTGACAGGAGCAGGGGAACATCAGCTGAGAACTGTTCATGATCACCGGGTTCCCAAACCAGTCCTGATGCCCCGACCAGCCACAGCACTTCATCTGAAACACAGCGGGCAGACAGACCGGTCACAGACGGGTCTACAGACAGTGTCGGGGAGTAACAGAGTACAAGTACCAGAGTTATGTAATCAGAGTACAAATGATGAGTAACTGTATTCAGTTACAGTTACTGTTTCAGTGAGTGGTAATTGGATTACAGTTACTTTGTTGAAATAAATGGATTACACGGCGGGATTTTCCTGTTTTCACATTTTGGGCAATATCCTTTTTTTGGTAATTCCACTCATTGCCGGACACTTAAACCAGGTCTAAACCAGGTCTAACACCAGGACTAACACCAGGACTAAAACAGGTCTAAACCAGGACTAAAACCAGGACTAACACCAGGACTAACACCAGGACTAAAACCAGGACTAACTAAACCAGGACTAACACCAGGACTAACACCAGGACTAACACCAGGACTAACACCAGGACTAACACCAGGACTAAAACCAGGACTAAAACCAGAACTAAAACCAGGACTAACACCAGGACTAACACCAGGACTAACACCAGGACTAACACCAGGACTAACACCAGGACTAAACACCAGGACTAAAACCAGGACTAAACCAGGACTAAACCAGGACTAAAACCAGGACTAACACCAGGACTAACACCAGGACTAACACCAGGACTAAACCAGGACTAACACCAGGACTAAACCAGGACTAACACACAGGACTAAAACAGGACTAAAACCAGGACTAAAACCAGGACTAAACCAGGACTAAAACCAGGACTAAAACCAGGACTAACAACACCAGGACTAACACCAGGGCTAAAACCAGGTCTAAAACCAGGTCTAAAACAGGACTAAAACCAGGACTAAAACCAGGACTAAACCAGGACTAAACCAAGACTAACACCAGGACTAACACCAGGACTAACACCAGGGCTAAAACCAGGTCTAAAACCAGGTCTAAAACCAGGTCTAAAACCAGGTCTAAACCAGCTCTAAACCAGGGCTAAAACCAGGTCTAAAACCAGGTCTAAAACCAGGTCTAAAACCAGTCTAAACCAGCACTAAACCAGGACTAAAACCAGGACTAAAACCAAGACTAAAACCAAGACTAAAACCAGGACTAAAACCAGGACTAAAACCAGGACTAAACCAGGTCTAAACCAGGACTAAAACCAGGACTAAAACCAGGACTAAAACCAGGACTAAAACCAGGTCTAAACCAGGTCTAAACCAGGACTAAAACCAGGATTTAATCCGGTCTAAACCTGGACTAAGCCAGGACTAAAACCAGGTCTAAACCAGGTCTAAAACAGGATTTAACAGGACTAAATCCTGCTGTGTGGATCGTGTCTCCTCGTCTTCTATCAATAATATTTTTAATTTGGTTCAGTAAAGTCTGGGCTTTTTATTTTCTTTTAGCAGACAATCTTCTTTTAAGTAATCCAAAGTATTCAGATTACATTACTCACTTTAAGTAATTTACTGGATTATGTTACAAACTACATTTTGGGGTATGTAATCTGTAATCTGTAGGGGAATACATTTTAAAAGTCACCTTCCCAACACTGTGTATATATGATCCACGTGCACTTTGAGTCCAGATATTTAACATTTTCTTAGAAGTCGGATCCATAATTTTGACTGAACCACATTTGTATTTCCTTTAAAATCGTGTTCCTGTGAAAATCATAAATATCAGAGTGTGTGTTGTGCACTCACGGTTCTCTGGACGGTGTCCCAGGCCTGCTCCGTCGTGCTGCTGTTGCCAGGGTAACTCTCCAAGACTTTGGTCACGATCTTTGACATTTCTTCGTTCAGCTGCGAAACAGAAACAGAAACACACGCAGACAGATTATGAGATTACGGGACCGACCAGAACCACACGACAAAAACTTTACAAAGACTCGTGTGTGATTGACGTGTCCATAAGCAACTGAACCAGGACTGAACCAGGACTGAACCAGGACTGAACCAGGACTGAACCAGGACTAAACCAGGACTGAACCAGGGACTGAAACCAGGGACTGAACCAGGACTGAACCAGGACTGAACCAGGACTGAACCAGGACTGAACCAGGACTAAACCAGGACTGAACCAGGACTGAACCAGGACTGAACCAGGGCTGAACAGGGCTAAAAGGACTGAACCAGGACTAAACCAGACTGAACCAGACTGAACCAAGACTGAACCAGGACTAAACCAGGACTAAACAGGAACTGAACCAGGACTGAACCAGGACTAAACCAGGACTGAACCAGGACAACCAGGAACTAAACCAGGACTGAACCAGGACTGAACCAGGACTAAACCAGGAACAGGACTGAACCAGGACTGAACCAGGACTGAACCAGGACTAAACCAGGACTGAACCAGGACTGAACCAGGACTGAACCAGGACTGAAACCAGGACTAAACCAGGACTAAACCAGGACTAAACCAGGACTGAACCAGGACTGAACCAGGACTGAACCAGGACTAAATCAGGACTGACTAAACCAGGACTGAACCAGGACTGAACCAGGACTAAACCAGGACTAAACCAGGACTAAACCAGGACTAAACCAGGGACTGAACCAGGACTGAACCAGGACTGACTAAACCAGGACTAAACCAGGAACCAGGACTGAACCAGGACTGAACCAGGACTGAACCAGGACTAAACCAGGACTAAACCAGGACTGAACCAGGACTAAACCAGGACTGAACAGGACTAAACCAGGACTGAACCAGGACTTGAACCAGGACTAAACCAGGAACCAGGACTACTGAACCAGGACTGAACCAGGACTGAACCAGGACTGACACCAGGACTAACCAGGGAACCAGGACTAAACCAGGACTGAACCAAAACCAGGACTGAAACCAGGACTGAACCAGGACTAAACCAGGACTAACCAGGACTACACCAGGACTAAACCAGGTCCAAACCAGGACTACACCAGGACTACACCAGGACTAAGATGGGACCGGCCAGAACCACACGCTCAGACAAAAACTTTACAAAAACGAGCCGTTTTCAGACTCGTGTGTGATTGACGTGTCCATAAGCAATCGGAGAGAAGAGAGAAGCAAGATCTGTTTGTGACGAAAACAAACACAGCTGCTGACACATGGAAAAAAAAGAAAATCTACAAAAAAGATTGAGAAACAGAGTGGATTTTTACAGAATCAACAATCGAAAAACAACAAACTATGACATTTTATCTCAGGTAAAAGAATATTTTGTTCTAGTACTAAACCAGGACTAAACAAGGATTAAACAAGGACTAAACAAGGACAACAACAGGACTAATCCAGGACTGAACCAGGTCTAAACCAGGACTAAACCAGGACTGAACCAGGACTGAACCAGGACTAAACCAGGACTAAACCAGGAAACAGGCAGGACTAACCAGGACTAAACAAGGATAAACAACCAGGAAACCAGGACTAAACCAACTAACCAGGACTAACCAGGACTAAACCAGGACTGAACCAGGACTGAACCAGGACTAAACCAGGACTAAACCAGGACTAAACCAGGACTGAACCAGGACTGAACCAGGACTAAACCAGGACTGAACCAGGACTAAACCAGGACTGAACCAGGACTGAACCAGGACTGAACCAGGACTGAACCAGGACTAAACCAGGACTAAACCAGGACTAAACCAGGACTAAACCAGGACTACACCAGGACTACACCAGGACTACACCAGGACCAAACCAGGACTAAACCAGGACTAAACCAGGACTAAACCAGGACTAAACCAGGACTGAACCAGGACTAAACCAGGTCCAAACCAGGACTAAACCAGGAGCGTTTGGACCAATCACAACAAAAGTCTTACAGAGAACTTTCAGGCACTTTGAAGATTTGAAAAGTTTTGAAATTTAAAAAAAGTTCATGTTGTGAAAACAAAGAATCCTACAAAACCTGATCTTTATGAAAAACCCCGTCAGTCTGCCCTTTTTTCAATTCCCAAAAAAATGCATTGTGAATTCTTTCTGGAGCTGCAGTACCTGGAGCGACCACTAGTCCTTCTGGAGCCGGAACAACAGAGGAATGCCTAACCCAGTTCTTATTATAGATCCGCGGTTGCTGTAACAGACTGAATTCTTGTCCTGAATCTGTGGGTCAAACCAAGCCAAACTCAACAAAATAAAAACGTCCAAAAATTATTTCTAAATTTGTCAAACTTTCACAGAGTCTGAGCCAAAATCTGGAAAAGACATCTGCACCAGTCCGAGTTTAGTAGTTCTGACCAGGACTAAAACCAGGACTAAAACCAGGACTAAAACCAGGACTAAAACCAGGACTAAAACCAGGACTAAAACCAGGACTAAAACCAGGACTAAAAGGACTAAAACCAGGACTAAAACCAGGACTAAAACAGGACTAAAACAGGACTAAAACAGGACTAAAACCAGGACTAAAACAGGACTAAAACAGGACTAAAACCAGGACTAAAACAGGACTAAACCAGGACTAAAACCAGGACTAAAAGGACTAAAACCAGGACTAAAACAGGACTAAAACCAGGACTAAAACCAGGACTAAAACAGGACTAAACCATTTTCAGCCCTGGTCTCAGTCTTGGTCTGGCCCCGGTCTAGGTCCCCGGTCAGTCCCAATGTTAATCCTGGTCTTAATCACACTCTCAGTCCTGGTCCTGGTCTCATTCCTGATCTGGTCCCGATCTAAATCCTGGTCTCAGTCCCAGTCTGGTTCTGGTCTGGTCCCGGACCTGGTTTAGTCCTGGTTCAGTCCAGCATCTCAGTTACTCCGTTTTTTTTTCCATTTTTGATTTAAACACAAATTTGAAAAACAAATCATTTTTGTTTTTTTTCATTTGGTTTTGGGACAAATAATGATAAAATAAGTCCCAGTCCTGTTTTAGTCCTAAAGTCCTGGTTCAGTCCTGGTTCAGTCCTCAGTCCTGGTTCAAGTCCTGACTCCTGTTTCAGTCCTGGTTCAGTCCTTCCTGTTTTAGTCCAGTCCTGGTTCAGTCCTGGTTCAGTCCTGGTTCAGTCCTGGTTCAGTCCTGGTTCAGTCCTGTTTTCAGTCCTGTTTTACTCCTGTTTTACTCTGTTTTACTCCTGTTTTTACTCCTGTTTTACTCCTTTCAGTCTGTTTCAGTCCTGGTTCAGTCCTGGTTCAGTCCTGGTTCAGTCCTGTTTTAGTCCTGTTTTAGTCCTGTTTTAGTCCTGGTTCAATCCTGGTTCAGTCCTGTCTGGTTCAGTCCTGTTTTAGTCCTGTGTTTTTACTCCTGTTTTACTCCTGTCCTGTTTTATCCTGTTCCTGTTTTAGTCCTGTTTTAGTCCTGGTCAGTCCTGGTTCAGTCCTGTTTTGTCCTGTTTTAGTCCTGTTTTAGTCCTGGTTCAGTCCTGTTCCAGTCTGTTTTAGTCCTGGTTCAGTCCTGGTTCAGTCCTGTTTAGTCCTGGTTCAGTCCTGTTTCAGTTCAGTCCTGGTTCAGTCCTGTTTTCAGTCCTGGTTCAGTCCTGGTTCAGTCCTGGTTCAGTCCTGGTTCAGTCCTGTTTTAGTCCTTTCAGTCAGTCCTGTTTTAGTCCTGGTTCAGTCCTCCTGTTTTAGTCCTGGTTCAGTCCTCCTGTTTTAGTCCTGTTTTGTCCTGTTTTAGTCCTTTTAGTCCTGGTTCAGTCCTGTTCAGTCCTGGTTCTTTTAGTCCTGTTTTCCTGTTTTACTCCTGTTTTACTCCTGTTTTACTCCTGGTTCAGTCCTGGTTCAGTCCTGGTCCTGGTTCAGTCCTGGTTCAGTCCTGGTTCAGTCCTGGTTCAGTCCTGTTTTAGTCCTGTTTTAGTCCTGTTTTAGTCCTGGTTCAGTCCTGGTTCAGTCCTCCTGTTTTAGTCCTGTTTTAGTCCTGTTTTAGTCCTGTTTTACTCCTGTTTTACTCCTGTTTTACTCCTGTTTTACTCCTGTTTTACTCCTGTTTTAGTCCTGTTTTAGTCCTGGTTCAGTCCTGGTTCAGTCCTGGTTCAGTCCTGTTTTAGTCCTGGTTCAGTCCTGGTTCAGTCCTGTTTTCAGTCCTGTTGTTACTCCTGTTCCTGTTTAGTCCTTTAGTCCTGGTTCAGTCCTGTTTTAGTCCTGGTTCAGTCCTGTTTTTAGTCCCAGTCCTGTTTTAGTCCTGTTTTAGTCCTGTTTTAGTCCTGTTTTAGTCCTGGTTCAGTCCTGGTTCAATCCTGGTTCAGTCCTCCTCCTGTTTTAGTCCTGTTTTAGTCCTGTTTAGTCCTGGTTTTAGTCCTGGTTTAGTCCTGTAGTCCTGGTAGTCCTGGTTCAATCCTGGTCCTGGTTCAATCCTGGTTCAATCCTGGTTCAGTCCTCCTGTTTTAGTCCTGTTTTAGTCCTGGTTCAGTCCTCCTGTTTTAGTCCTGTTTTAGTCCTGGTTCAGTCCTGGTTCAGTCCTGGTTCAGTCCTGGTTCAGTCCTGGTTCAGTCCTCCTGTTTTAGTCCTGTTTTAGTCCGACATCGTTGTTTAAGTCACATAAACGGGAAACATTCCGTTATCCGTTTTTACCATTTTTCATTTAAAAACAAAATCAAAAACTGAAAAAACAAATCGTTACCTGTTTTTTCCATTTTCTTATTTTTGTTTTTATTTTGAAAAACAAATGAACAATACACAGATTCTCCAGATTTGTTTTTGACTCGGTAAAAACATCGTAACATGACTTTAAACCTCACAAGAGTCAGTTTTGTGTCACGTAATATTGAACCTTTAAAATTTTTACACATTAAAAGTTTAAATTTCCAGATGTAAAATAAAACACCAGCACGTCAAACAGCGCCGGTGCCCCGCTCTCCTCTGCCCCCTCTTCCCCGT